ATCAGTTTAGAAATGATTTATGCAACTCTGATGCAGTATTAGTTGACATGATATCATTTAACATATTACACGACTTAAAGGCAGGGTCCGTAAGTTGATGTTGTCAGGGCGAGGAGGAGATTTAAAAATTCAAACAGCTGTTGCTCACTCAATAAACCTCTAAAACATGCTGAATACTAGCTCTCTAGGGCCGTGGAGCCAAACCCTGCAGCTAATCTAATGCTATGGCTAACGGCTACTTACCATTCAGAGCTGGTTCTGTTGGGTCGGCTCAGGTAGTTTCAGGCAACTCACAAACTCAACAATAAGGCTCAGGTCCGCTTGTCTCATCGTCTGGGTAAGGAGGGGGAGAAACGTCCTCCACTTCTAATGACTGCTCAGAGAGAAAAAAGCTGGCTTCGTCTCGTTACCCATCGTCTTCGTCACTGCCACGGCTCCGCCATCTCGGCCCGCCAGGCAGCGCCTATTAATGTTGCAGTTTTCAAATTTGATATGTGTGTGGCAGTGTGAGCATCCTGTCACAGTGTTCCGATTGATCATGCACCCTGGCTACTTGGCCAAGGGGATGTCCCTTTGGCTGACTGGTTAGCGCGCGTGACTCTCACCCGGGAGTCTGGGGATCGAATCCTGCCCGGGCCCTCGTTTCTCCACCTTGCCACATGTGGGTGGAGAAGGACTCTGAGGCAGGGTAGATGAACACTTTAAATAGGGGAACCACCAACCTGGTCTGCTAATCCAGTGGCACTCCCCCTGATGTCCATGCGATATTGCAGAGCCATGTCAGCCAACACAGCCCTACGACATCCAGAGCCTTAAGGAATTCTGTGTAGATCTCATCCACCCTCTGAACTTTGCCACCAAGGAACTTTTTGACAACCTCAGTGACCTCAGCCCCAGAGATAGTAGAGTCCAACCCAAAGTCCCCAGGCTCCACTTCCTCACTGGAAGACGTGACAGTGGGTTTAAGGAGGTCTTCGAAGTACTCTGACCACTGATCTACAACGTTAGGAATAGAGGTGAGCAGCACACCGTCCTCACTATAAAGTGTTGGTGGTGCTCTGTTTTCCCCTCCTGACACGCCGGATGGTGGACCAGAATCTTCTCAAAGCCGAGCGGAAGTCTTGCTCCATGGTCTCACCAGACTCCTTCCACACCTGGGTTTTGCCTCTGTTACCACCCGAGCCGCATTACGCTTGCACTGCTGGTACCTATCAGCTGCCTCTGGAGTCCCACAGGCCAAAAGACCTGATAGTACTCTTTCTTCAGCTTGACGGCATCCCTAACCGCCCAGCGGATTTGTGGGTTGCCCCCATGACAAGCACCGACAACCCTACGGCCACAGCTCTGGTCAGCCGCCTCAACAATGGAGGCACAGAACAGGGCCCATTCGGACTCAGTGTCCCCCACCTCCCCCAGAATGTGTTGGAAGTTGTGTCTGAGGTGAAAATTAAAGCTCCTTCTGACAGGACTCTACGTTTGAGCCTACCAGATCTGACCAGCATCGTTCCCCACCATCGAAGCCAACTCACCACCAGGTAGTGGGCCATTGACAGCTCCAGTCTCTCTTCACCTGAGTGTCCAAGACATGCGGCTGCAGATCAGATGAGATGACAACAAAGTCAATCATCAAGCTGCGGCCTAAGGTATCCTGGTGCCAAGAGCACATATGGACACCTTTATGTCTGAGCATGGTGTTCATTATGGACCACCCATGGCTGGTACAGAAGTCTAATAACAAAATACCACTTTAATTCAGATCAGGGGGCCATTCCTCCCAACCACACCTCTCCAGGTCTCACTGTCGTTGCCCACATGAGCGTTAAAGTCCCCTAGCAGAACGACGGAGTCACCAGAAGGAGCGCTTTCCAGCACCCCCTCCAAGGTCTCCAAAAAGGGTGGGTAGTCTGAACTGTAGTTTGGTGCATAAGCACAGACCAGTCAGAACCCGTCCCCCCACACGTAGGCGGAGGAAGGCTACCCTCACGTTCACCATGGTAAACCCCAACGTACAGGCATCAAGATGGGGGGCAACTAGTATGTCCACCCCTGCTCGGCGCTTTTCTGTGGGAGCAACTCCAAAGTGGTAGTGTCCAACACCTCTCAAGGAAACTGGTCCCGGAGCCACAGCCGAGCGTCAAGGTGACTACCACTATATCTGGTCGGATTCTCTCAACTTCACACACCAACTCAGGCTCCTTCCCCACCAGAGAGGTGACACTCCACGTGCCAAGAGCCAGCTTCTGTAGCCGAGGATCAGACTTCCATCCGTCCCCTTTGGCCCCTCCCACGAGTGGTGAGCTCATGGAAAAGGGGACCCATGTCTCCTCTTTGGGCTTTGCCCGGCCGGGCTCCATGGGTAAAGGTCAGACCACCAGGCACTCGCCAATGTGCCCCAACTCCAGGCATGGCTCCAGAGGGGGGCCCCGGTGAATGCGAGGGAACACTTTTTCCACGTTTTTCTTCATGAGGGGTCTTTGGGCTGCACTTTGTCTGACCCCCC